CAGTGAGAATACTGAGCATCCAGACCAGGCCCATGGTTATAAGGATTTTGATCTGGAAAAAAATCCTTCTTTGGAAGAAAAAAACTTATTTCCAATACTGAGGAGAAGGTGTGTAGTGCTATGGGCCTAGGTTGGGTCACCATAGTTACCTTTATGGAGCCTCTGAGTCTCAATTTTCTCATCTGTAAAATGACAATTAGACAGTGGTCTTTGCTTTTAAAGAGATAATAGTGAAAATCTGCAGAACAAGCTGAGAAAAGAAATTTTTCATAAATTCCAAATATACAGAGTCAAGTGAAAAGGGATCTAGTGAATTACTCTGAGTGGTCCAGCCGCCGGACAGCTGTCCTCACTGATTTTATGTCTGTCAAACAACAGATGTGGTTCTGCATGTCCAGGGGAGTGGGTGCTCGTAAGGAGGTAATTTTTAATTCTATTTCATGATCTCCTCAGAGATAGGGCATTGTTTTATATTATTTTATGTGTCAGTCTTCTAGTGATAATATTTCCTTCCGTCATTCTTTGCAAAATATGTATGAATAGTGAAATAAATTTTAATAAATATTTCCAGGGAAAAATATACTTCAGACTATTTGTTTCTTATGCTTGGTAAAGCTGATAAAGGAACTGGGTGAGAGAAATTTATTACTATTCTATTTTTTGGATAGTAAAAGACTGTAGGAAAGAACACAGAGGTGTCTATTCAAGTCTGCCCTTGGAAAAACATAGATCAAGATGGATAGTCAAATGTGAATTGCTTCATTTGAAAATGACACAGTTATTTTAGTATAATATGGGCTGGTATCTTCGTTTTAGAAGCCTGAATTTAAGGCTATTTACAACCCAGTGGCTCTGGAGTCTTGAGGGATTTCTCTTTCCTCCTTTTGCACAGTTGTTGGTTCTTCTAACATTGATTTCTGTTGCTGTTCTTGGCTTTACTCAGTAGAGGTGGAAAGTAGTTTTCCAAATGTTAGAAGAAGAATGTTTTTCAAGTTTTTATTTTATTTGTGTTTTCATGAGGAGCTTCCAGCAAGTCTCAACCTAATGAAATAGTTCATTATCCTGAGATCTGTCGAAAATATCGATCTCAGAAACAACTTTTAAAAAATGTTCTTTGGTTGGTTTGCTCATGTTCTACTTCTCCCCTTGTCCAGTAAGAGCCGTGGAGGATCTGGAAACGCAGAGCTCAGTGGGAAAGCAGAGGGGTGCGGCAGTATTTCCACGCTGAAGCACTTCCCTTTTGACCTGCGCTGTGGTCAGATGGTGCCTCACAAAGTTCAGGTGTTGGAAATTTCACCTCCAGTGCAATAGTTTGGAGATGAGACCTAAAAAGGCATGATTAGGTCATGAGGGCTCTGCCTGGATGACCTAATCATCCCAGTCTGGGACTCAGTCATCCCAGGAGTATGTTAGATATTGCAGGAACGGGTTTATCATGAAAATAACTTTTGGTCTTTCCTTGCCCTCTCATGCTTTCTTGCCTTCTGCCTTCTTATATGCACAAAGATCCTCAGTAAATACTGGTGCTGTGCAGTGGAACTTACCAACCAACCGAACTGTGAGCCAAATACAGCTCTGTTCATCATAAATGACCCAAACTTGAGTGTTCTCTTATGGCAGCACAGAATGGATGAGGACACATTACCACTTTATATTAACAAATCCTCATGTTCAAAGAATCTCAAAGGGGTAACTTTTCATATAGCATTAAGTTTAATAGTTTTTATTGTAGATGGAAGCAAGTGAAGCCTGCCTGCTTTATTTTTTATTCCATTGCATAAGTAAATTTACTTTCAAATTTCTGTGTTTGTTTATAATTCCAAAATTAATCACAAGCTAAAATCTCTTCTAATTCCTTAGCTGCTTTTGGCTCTAAAACATGCTGATATTTGGAATTCAGAATTTTCTAACATGTGTTTACCTCCCACTTTGGAATCCCAAATACATCAGGGAAGCTGTCCTAGTAAACATACAAGACTCAGGGGAATATTCCTTTTGAAAGAAGCCCCTTTTCAGTAATTTTTTGGACTGCAAAACCTGAAAAATGCCTCACTGTTAGGATCAAGGCAAGCAGCCTCATTTTTTATGTATTCTGTCTGCCTAAGTGGTATTAAATCAGAGAGAATAGACTTCAAAGCCATGGTGCATGTCTGCTAAAGAGAATGTAGCTTCCTCAAATTTCTGGACATTTGTGGCTTGCACGGAGTCCTGTCAGCCTCAGCCTTCCATATCTCCTAATTATAGGTTCAGAAGAGGAAAGAGAATCTATTAAGGGGTCCTTTTCCAGGGATCGTTATTTTTGGAAGCATATTTTAGGTGACAGTGATTCTATTCAAGGGTATCCATTATATTTAATGGTGGCCTCAGGGACAGTAAGGGTTTCAGTTATTTCCCATAGCATAGCTGGCCTCAGTCTGATGCAGTTCGGCTTTCTCACCTGGCTCCCTTGTGATCAGTGAAATGTCAAGGGACAGAGTCACTTTCACAGCCCCTGAGAATGAATCCAAACCATGACCTTAGCTTCATTAGCAGCCTGACCCAACCAATCAGAGTAAAGCTTGCCTTTGATTCTGATGGCAGACATAGCTGAGAGAGGGACAGTAATGGCTTCCTTGGGGTGGCTCTGAGATAAAGCCCTGCTCTCTTTGAAATGACTTGTCAGTGCAGATATACTGACTTTGGATGTCTTTCTGCCTCTCTTTCTTTAATTGGAATGCCAGAACACTCAAGTTACCCCTGATCTCAAAGAAATCTTTATTTTCTCTTTTCTCTCTGAAATGCATTAAATACTCACAAATCTGTACTAACATCCAATATCTTTAGAATTTTTTGTTTAAAAAACTTACTGTTCATTTTAAATAATTTCACAGTAAAAACAACAAAGACAATATAAATAATTCTACCATACCCTTTACCTAGCTTAACTTAAATGTGAGTTAACATTTTATATGGTCTTTACATAGGGGTCAAAACCAGGCAATGAACCTAATATGATACTATTAGCTAATCTATGGACATTATTTAAATGTTCCCAATTGTCTCACTAATGTCCTCTTTCTTACCCAGGATCCAACGCAGGGTCATACATTGCATTTATTTGCCCAGACCTCTTAGTCTCTTCCAATCTGGAATAACTTCTCAGTCATTCTATATTTTTCCATGGTCTTTATACTTTAAAATGCATTGACGAGTTATGTTGTAAAATGTCCTTCAGCTAGGGTTTGTTTGCATGTTCCTCAATTCAGGTTATGTCTTTGCCGTGAATGTCATGATCCCGATGCTGTGCTGTGCTCTGTACATCATTTCACAGGTGCATGATGTCCGCGTGTCTCACTGCTGCTGAGGTGAACTTTGATCACTCTTAAGGTTGTGTCTGCCACTGTGAGGGTCCTGTTTTTCCTTTTGTACTGAACAAATATATTGCTGAGGGATATGTCAAGACTGTATACAAGTCTGCTGTTTCTCACCATACTTATTCATGTCATTAGATTTTTGCAATTAAGTAATCCTAGTGTGCCTATGAGACTATGTTCTATTTTTAAAAGATGTGCCACCATAAATTTGGCTATTCTAGACTTTTCATCTAAATGAAATAAGATCACACGTGAAAAAGATTCACACAGAGCAAAAGGCTTGCCACACAAAAAGAATGCTAGTGTGGGAATAGTGTTATGGTCTAAATCCCTCTTTTTTCTCATTACTATTGACGTTTGTTTTACTGATATCAATATTGTTTGTGATCTTTGCTATTTTCTTAGACACCAGAGTGAAAAGCAAATCCAATAGATGATACATAGGCAAAGATGCTCTTACAAAAATTCAATGAATGAAGTAAACTTATTCTGTTTGTCTAAACAGCCCTTTCCCTTCTTTTTGCTTTCCTCCCCTCGCTTGTGTTAAAGCATACACTGAGGCCTAAAGCATGCCAGTCACAGCCATAAAAAGGTGAGGATAACATGGTCTTGACCTCCAGAAGTGCTACGCTCCCAGTATGACAAATGCTTAGACTGGATGCTGGAATGTTGATTGACTTGGTCTAGTGTGAAAACGCGCTTGTCTTGAAACCATAAAGTGAAAATTAAAGCACAGGGCTACAAAGGATTAAGGTGAGTTCAGGATAAAGCTTGTGATTAGACACAAACAATGATATGAAATATATATGTAAAAGTCTGAGATAAATGTGTGCCTCAGGGAAAGAATTGTCTAAATATTTTAATAACAAGTTTATGGGTAAAATCATGAGATAAATACAAATTACCTTTGACTTCTGCAGATACAAGAGATGGGCAAAGTGGTGCCATCATCTTACGGACTTTAATTAGTATGTTGAACTTCTGAAGTGTGTATACATTTTTTGGATACCTATGTTGACTGTAATTTTTGCTGCTGAATGGTTTTCACTAAGATCTTGTTTCTGTTGAATTGTATTTTAAAAAAAAGGAAAAGTGAAACCAGATTCTCCACATGTGAATGGGTTCTTTACTAAAAATCTCTAGCATGGCTGCTTTTTGTGAACCAGTATGGAGAGACAGAAGCCCGGCAAACATACACAAAAATAAATAAATGGAAAGCAAGGGGATCAAGAGATGGGTGAAGTGAGGAGGCAGGAAAGGAAAGCAGATGAAAAGATGAATTAAGATATATTGTGCACATGTACCAATTTCTCACAAGGAATATGAACTTTATATACTACACACTTGTACTAGTAAACTAAAATTTTCAAAAAAGAAACCAGAAGATGCCCCTCTTTGAAATCTTCATTTCTGGTTAGAGACTGACTATCTGCTTCATAATAAGTCTGTGGGAGAAAGAGAACCTCACACTTTATGCCACCATACTTTATGCCACTAAAGAAGTCAATGAGAGGGTCTCATAAGCTATAAAACTTGATGTGGTATTAAAGTGTGCCAACTTTTATCTAGCAAATGATGCATCTCTCTTATGTGAATGATTCCTCCAAATATCTGCTTTCCCATAATTTTGAAAAATACATTCATCTCTATTTAATGAATCTCTTTATTCATTTTCAGTATATCAATTAATTTGGAATTTTTATTATGGTAAAATATGCAAGCACATCATTTTTATGAAGCTGAAGAGATCATCTCATCCTGGAAGGTGGGAAATAAGGAGCGCTGAAATCATGCTTCATCCCCAAGACATCTCACAACGATGAATAGAAGCAATGGCTCAAAAGGACTCAGTGTAGAAAAACCTGCAGAAAAAAATATATATATAAATAATAGAATGGAGCAATAATTCTTTGTTTTAAAAATGGAGATGCTATGCCATTTCCTGAATTCCTTCTAACCAAATAAGAACACGGAAAAAGAAATATGTCATTCATTTTACTCAGCTGAGTTATATATCTGTCAAGTGTTTATTGGGAGAATAATGTGTATTTGCAAGCATTTCCGCTGTCTGCCTTTTTATCCTGCTTTGGTCACCCACTCTATCTGTTTTCATTTGAATACTGAATAGATCTGCTTGGAGATCAATACAAATAATGATGGCCAGTTGAATGACTCACCTAGCTGTCACTTCTAAGACTTCTAAATAAAGCTCTGACTTCAGTGAATCCCACTCTTCAAGCCCTGAGTCACCTTTGGGAAGCAGATCTTTCTTGGACAGTATCGGAGGAACCCCTTTAGCTGCTAAGGGGCATGATGGTTGTTGGATGAGGAAAAGAAAGCATCTTCCTAGTGTTCTTTCTGTGCTTTTTAGAACCCCATGTGAAAGAAACATGATAGCTAGTCATCATATATTGTGACTCCTTCCATGTTTCTGGTAGATAGTAGGATTGTTGCAGTTTGATAATCGGATAGTCTTCCTCAGTGTTTATTAATTATTATTAAACATTACTAAGTCTGAACTATGGCAATCTCACTTGCTCACAGAGAGCAAAAGGCTCTTCATGTCATATTTTATACAAACAAACATTTATAGAAGGTTAATTGCAATTAGACTCCATTAATAAAATAACACACTCTACTTACAAATGATATAGTGATCATCAAATGAAATACACCCACTTCTCATCTTTTTTCCTTTTTAATGTCCTTTTTGAACCCTTTTCAAATCATATTTCTAGTTGGTCTGATTCTAAAAATATTAGATGCCCCTAACTTGTTGCCTTCAAACACATTAATCTAAAACAGCTACATAAAGATTTGCTACTTACCATGTAGCGTTAAACAAGAGAAGTGCAGTGTTTTGCCACCTGGTGAGTAGCAAAACTAGAAAAGAAATAGCTCAGCTGGAAATATGGATGTGCTTACCAAATCATGTGTAACCGTGACTTCACCTGTTATTTTTGAGCCAAATGAGTATGTGTGTGGCTGGCTAAGCAGAATCCGTGTTTTTATGTGAAGAAGCGATGAAGGAGGAGAGGAAAGGTGTATTTTTGGTAGTGGCTCTGAGCTTTTCTCAGGGCTACATGAAGTGGACATCGTTTTTGTGGCCAGTGGCTGGCATCATGGGGATCTCTGTGGCATCCAAAGCAACTAAGGAGTAGAGACTCCTGTAGCCACAGGAAGAGACCTGTAGCAGTGGAAGCCCTCAACCAGTGGTAGGCAGTTGGCGTGACCTTGACCTCCTACTGATGGTCTTTCAGTAAAAGGTGAAAGATTTATGCGATCTGAAGAGAAACCAAGTATTACTGTGGCCTTTCAGTAGCTATGTCCTCCTGCTGTTTATCAGCTGCATCCACATCATTTTAACACACATCAGTCTTTTCCCTGTAGGACAAGTGGGTTTGAATGCTTTTATGTAGAGAAATTTACTTACCAGCTAGATGTAGCAAGGATTTCCAATTTAGTCTAAAGGTTGGATTGGATAAAAAGCACAAAAAGATTAGTAAAGCTTTTAAAAATATTTTTTGTATGTAAACAAAAGAGTGTAGAAAGTCAAGAACTGCTGTACATTGTGGTCCAATAGAAGGCCCTTTTAGAATAGAATTATCTAATATTTAAAAATAAACATGCAAAGTGAAAGAAATCTGCAAAATTACACTATATTGAATTCAGGACTCTGGAAAATAAACAAAAATTTGTACATATTGCTAAGACTAGAAGGAAATACAGCCTGTTACAAAAAAATGGTATTTCTACATGGTGAGAATATAGATGAGTCTGTCTTCCTTTCATTTTTCATTTTTCATACTTTCTGTCATAAGAATGAATATCTTTTCATAGTAAAGCACAATGAATAAACTAAGAGGCATAGATATACACATATGTGCATGTGCTGAAAATATCTTTTAAAAGTAATTTTAAGCCACAAAATGCCCTAACTATTGGACTTATGGAGAGCCTGAGGTTCTCATTATAATCTAATTTTTGGTGAAAAGCTTTGTCTTCTGGAAAATCTCATTTTAAAATATAAAATACAAAATAGTAAAGTGAACACTAATACATGAACATGATATGAAAAGCATACCTGTTCTTGCAGATTACTAGGAGCATAAACCTAAATATGTAGGGAAGGCATAAACAATATTTTTTCAGTGCTGAGGACCAAACTCAGGGTGTAGAGAAAGCTAGGCAAGTGCTCTATCTTTAGGCTACACCCCAAGAGTTTTTTTTTAACAAGAATCTTATTGTTTGTCAGGATGGTCTCAGGATCCTGGATCAAATTATTCTCCTGCCTCTGTTACCGCAACACTTAGGACTATAGGCACAAGGGACTGCTCCACGCAGATCTAAGATTTTTGATAGCCGATTTCAGGAACATGATGGTAAAGTGCTCTTTACTTTTATGCAGGATGAGGAGCACCTTGTTCTCAAGAATTTCCCAAAGACTTTACACAAGAAAGGAAAGTCACACAATACCAAGACTCTCACTGCTGACTTCTGTGAAAGGTGCCACCTGAGTTCTTATTGGGCAAGAGTTAGGATTTCCACAGTTATGTAGGAACTGATTTCTAAGTCACTTATTCAGGGAACCAACTGGAGCCAGCTTAATGTGAAGCTTACATGTAACCAGGGCTCAAATAAGCTGCCACGGTCTGTTTGTAAAGAAAATCAAAGGCCTCTGTTAGCAGCAGTCAAACTCAACTACTAGGGATCAAATTAACCAAAAACAAGCTCTGGGAGTCTGTCAGCTTTAATTGTCATTTAATAGACCCATTTCCTAAACTCCTTAATATCTTGTGTTGATTGTGATTGCCAAGGGTCCCATGAGTAAATCTAATTTAAATTGATGCTCAACTTGACTAGGATTGAAGAACTCGTGGGTGGCAATTGTAGAATAAAATGAGGTAAAATTCCTTTTATCTTTTTGGTAGTTAAAGCACTTGAACTTTAATACTTAACTACAGCCCATCTGGAATCCTTAAATGAAATGGTTTAACTCTCAGAGAAAGGATTTGAAGGTTTCTTTGTCTTCCACTGAAGGTTTTAAAAGGCATTCAGCAATTAATAAATGAGATCATGGGTGAAATAAAATTCTTTTTTATACTGAATTTTAATGGGCTCATATCTCAACCTGAGCTTGCTTGTGTAGAGGATGAAAGGATGCTGGTTATTTGTATGACCTCTGGGGGGCCTATAATGATTGGGGGGAAGGAATTATAATCCTTCAGCCATTCATGCTTGGAAGATTACTTTTAATAGGAACATAAATTATCCATGTCATGCTTTTCTTTTGGGTAACGTTCGTAAATTGCCAGAAAGTTTATAATGGATGCTTATTTGTCGCACCAAGGTACCTTTTGCAAAACATTTCTTTCCTCCTCTTTTCTCCAGTTATCTATTAGGATCATCTATGTCAGCTACAAACGTCTGGATCTGTCGTATTCATACAGGGAACACCTCTGCTTTTCCAGAGCTATCTGCTCTCACAGATGTGACACACTTTACTCTGCATGTGGCTCTCATTAAACCTTCACCTAAGATTGAAGCCTGCCACATAAATTAGTGGAGCTCCTCTGGGACCTACTTAAGGATTATGTCCCTTTTATTGCTGAAATTCAAAAGCAGGCTCATTACAGATACTATTCAGACCAGAGACACTACTACATAATATACTCCCGCTAATCACCATGTAGTGACTTATTCAACCATTAATCAAATGATGTACAAATGATGTACTTTGGCCATACCACAGGATGGAAATGATATTCCCCAACCCCAAACACACATCAAAATCCTTAAATAGGCCACATACATTGAAAAAGTCACTGTGACATGGAAAAAAACTCCTTTGAGGACGAATATGAGGTATTACAGACACCCAACCATAAAGGATTATAGTTAGATCAAGGAAGCAAGAGAGGGGAAGGGGAAGAAGAAAGGACCTGGTACGTGTCATGTACAAGTACCAGCTCCCTATAAAAGATGTAATCATTATGTACTGCACACATGTACTAATAAACTGACATGTAAAGAAAGAGCCATGTGATAGGAGAAAGAAGAATCAATTGTATTTATCATGGATAATAAAATGAGTATCTGGGTGGTAGTTTGCTTTTTACAGTACATGTGTAATTTTTTTTAGCTCTTTATGGAGTTTAGTACAATCTTCACAAAACAGCATTTGTGGTAACCATATAAAACCGTCAGAATTCATGGTGATGAAATTTTCTGCCCTTATATTTGCTGATTGAATTAAAGGCTAATAATAAAAGAACATATATCCTTTCCATTTATGTAAATAGAAAATGTAGAAAATAATAATGTGAATCTGAAATAATAGAACATTTTAAAGACTTTCAGAAAAATAAACCTTTTTCTAGCCCTGTAACCGGTTAGCGAGGTATCTCAGTTTTTCTTTGTCTTAGATGCAAAACGAGGACCGTGAGCTGGAGCTGTTTGCTCATTTGAAGTAAATTACCTTGACAGTGCATAAGAGACAGAGGAGCTCTGAGATAATTGGGTTCAAAACAAGTGTTTGCAGAAAGAAGACAGGAAGGTTTTTGTACAAATTAAAATGTGCATAAATGAATGGTTTGGTTAAAGGTTTGAGCTAGGTAAAGATACAAATAGGGGTTACAATTTGGTTAGACAACAAAGGGGAGAGAATATTTGAATATTAATTCAGTAAGCACCACTGCCTATTGTGTGTACAGCTGAACACACAGGGGTTTCAGGAATATGTTATCATAGGCATCATGTGAGACCCCTACCCAGATCCCCCAGCCCTCTCTGAAAGTCACTTGCAGCCTCATCAGTAATTTCCAGTCACTCTGAGGACTGTTCTCCCTCAAGCTTCTGGGTATTTTTACCAGCAGCTATTTTCTGGTCACAAGAGTGTTCTTTACGCAAGTACGATGCAGTCATGAAATGTCAGGAAATCAAGAAAAGTCTTGAATGTAACTCTCAGACAGCGAGGGATACTGAACCAGAAAGAGCTGCTTACAAAGACTAAAGGCTTTGGGTTCACAATTCTGAAGGCTGGGACTTTCAGAGTTTGGCTGCTGCACCTAGCGAAGTCCTTCTTGCTGGTGGGACCCTACAGGGTCTTGAAGCAGTGCATTATATACCAGGATAACATTCTGGCTCAGATCTTGAAGCCACAGTCCTGTGGGGTTAAGGTCCCTACCATTATGGCCACATTTAACCTTACTGCCTCCCGCAGGTCCCAACAAATACCAGTCAGTTCTTAAGTTTCTATCGTCTTACTACTTCAAAATGGGGACTAGATGTCAATATGTGTTTGTGTGGGGATAGTCACACCATACAAGTCAGCTAGTATGTCTTAGTGGGACATTTCTAGGCGGTGGGATGGGTCTTGGCACAGATGCTCAGGTAATAACTCTCAACACACTTTTATTTACCTTCCTTCTTTCATGGCCTGGCTTCCCAGAGATGCATTGTGCCTCCTGGGACCACTTCCCTAGACAATGTGTACCCAGATTCTTTCTCGAGCTCTGCTTTGGAGGGAATTCAAAGATACAGACTAAATAGGTGTTTGACAGGGGAAAAACATGGAAGATGTTTTATTTTAAAATATTGATCTCATCTTATTTGCATTCAAAAGAATGGAGCTTAATAGGAAACAAGAATATTTTATGGGAGGAGTAAGGAGAAATTATGAAGAGGAATGATTCTTCCAGACTTATGATATGTACTTGATCAAGAGATTGAAATATAAGCTGGCTTTTGTATCTTGTATCTTATTGGATGATACTACAGTCCACAACCTCGATAATGATTGCAATGGAAACAGCAGAAAAACTCTTCAAGTAGTAAGTTACTGTGTTCAGCATGTGTAGTCCTTGGCCGCTAGATTCCTACAACATCATTTTTCTGATCCAACTGCTGACAATATTTACATGCAAACTTACAATTACATTTTTCCTTCTCCTTAAAAGAACACTAAAAATGAGAAAATGAAACAAAAATATCCCAAATTTTTTTGGGGGGGTCTATGGTTTACAGTGTGTATCTGTTTTGTTTCTTCTTCAGAGTCTTCAAAAGAAAGTGTAGAAAGCCTTATTAGAGAATTAGCTAACACCTGCTGTATACTTTAAGTTGACAAGGACATGTTAGAGCTGTTTATTCTTGTAAGTATCTTATTTGGATCCTGTTGGCATTCAGTGATCTCCTTAACCTAGTAAGTTTGTGAAGCTGATGATAACATTCAGTGATCTCCTTAACCTAGGAAGTTTGTGAAGCTGATGATAATGTCTATGTCTTATGTCATATTTTTAAACTCTTTACCTTACTTAAGCTTTTTTACTATTTCATTAATAAAGATGTGTGATCCATAATGAATACATTCACCATGGGGAACTGGTATATCATATACATATCACATATTTTTAGTTTCCCCTTATCTCCCCATTTACCTTGTAGTTTTATTTTGGAGTAAACAGAGGATTACCTTTCTGGAGCCA